ACGGTCAATCATCACTTGTCACTGAACGTCTTTTGTGATAAAATCGATACAAAAACATTCACATTTCATTCTTTTTTTATATAATTGATTTTTTACAAAACTCGCTCAAAATCAACTAAGATTCCGTTTGGTGTAGCTTTCTAAAAACACTTTTAGCTAAAAAGTATGTTTTGACCGTAAAATCAATGTCAAATAGGTAAAGAATAAAAAAACAACGGTGAAAATGATGGTTTCAAATCAATCTCAAAAGATAGGATTTGTAGTTTTTTAATTTTTAATTTGGCGTTTGGAAGTAAATTATAATTTTACCATTATTAATGCATGACTTCCACTTAATTATATATTTACATTTTATTTTAATAATTTAATATTAATATTTTTAAAAATAATTTATTTTAATTACTTAAATGTAAATAAAATTCATGGTTTATATATTAAAATCCACTTTAATTTGCAAGAGCTAATATTTTTTTAAATATTCTTTTTACCTAAACATGTATTTAAATTATTATTTCGTAATAATTTTATATCCACATGTTAAAAAATAGTGGTAATATATTTTTAATAAAATATTTCACTTATAAAAATATTATTAATGAGTTATCTTAAAATATTTTTTATATTTTTATTATAGTTTAAGTTGATGTGTTTTATATATCGTAATATTAGTAAATGTAGATATACTTTAAATTTTAATTTTAATTTATAACATAATGTTTTTTTTAAACTTACTTTTTAATAACAGTTTCAAACAGTTAAACTTTAAACCGTACTTATTTTTAAAAGTTATTTTCTACCGCATATTTTAAAAGTTATTTTTAAAAAATCCTACCAATCCGACTCTAAATGACTTAACAATCACCCCTCTTCAACCCGACTATTTGGGTGGAGTTATGGTTAGGTATTTGCATAAAACAGGTTAAATATAAGTTTGGTATATAAGAGTCCCAGGATATACTATTTGATTCTTACAATGTAATTATATATAAGTGAAAGTAAAAATATTAAAACTTTCGTGAAAAAAATATAAAATTTATTTATTTTGAAGTGTCTTGTTACAATAAAACCTCGCCAAATGGTACTCCCCTGATTCGGTGCCTCTCGCAAAGGCGCAAGGTCAATCCCTTCCTTGCTTTAAGCACTTTCCGCATCCCTTTGAAACCATCAAAACCCCCAACAAATAAATACTGAAACAATAGCGTTTGAGGGTACAGATTGACGAAGAATCAATAAATCATCAAGATGAATATCACAAAAATCGATTTGGTTTGGTTTAGGGCACTCAATCAGAGAAGAAGAAAGACATGCAAGTGGATGGATTTTTGTTTGGTGCGATTAACATCATCTGGATTTCAACCCTAAATTATTTGACTTATTTAGGGATGACATCGGTTGGGTTGGCCAAAACCCGACCCAAAAAGTTTACATCATTAACCTGATCCGACCCGAACACGACCCGACTTTTTGAGATAAAACCTGAATCCAATTCGACCCAATCCGAAATAATAAAAATATTATTTTTATTCCATAAAAACAGTGGTTTAATTGAAAAAAAAATTAATATAGAGGGGTATTATTATCATTATTCATAAATATATAATGTAAAATTATATATTTTTTGGGTCGACTATTTTTCATCTTGAACCTGAACCCAACTTGACCCGATCAGATCGGGTCAGAACCCGTCGGGTTCGGATCCTATGTCCATCCCTAGACTTATTGTGTACAAGTATGATAATCAATTTCTTGCATCCATTTATACAATAACTTGATGACTTAAAGTGATAGTTTACTAAATACAATTTACCCCTATCTTGTACTCTTTTACTTATCCATACTATACTTGGTGTCTTTTCAAAATGTCAACGGTTGAGTTAGAGAAATTATTTTTTCATTCTCGCTTAATACGTCATTTGTGGTCTTAATAAATCACATCCATCGAATTTAAAATAATCTTTAAATAATTATCAATTTTTTATTTATACGTAGGAAAGAAATGAAACTTCGCTTCAGAAAAAATGACATGGAAAATTGTTATGGGTTGGGAACACGGATGACTCACCCCTAACCGTTGCAGTTTATTCAACTGTCTACTGATCGGTGGTTGCTGCTCCGCTTGGCGTTTCACTTATCTCTTTCTCAATAGTATCCATTTCTTGCATCCATTGATCAGTATCCCATGCATCCCGATAATTGTCACCGTAATATGATCTCTCTTTCAAGATGGACAAAAACGTTACTTTCTTCCACCAATTCGGAGGATTTACGTCCAATTGAGCAGCAACCCAACCTATATATTCAAACTGCTACCACAGGACAATAGCTCCATCACAATCAACAATCATATAAATAGAAGTAAAGACGGAGATGTAGCTGTTTAAGTGCCAACCCCATTATGCTGAGGATTAAGAACAAGTTTCTGCCATCCATTCTTCTCCATCTCACGGTAAAACTTCAACAGAACTCATCATTTCTTCTTTGGTTGGTAGCTCTAGCTTGCCTGACAAAACTTTTGCCACCCATTTCGCTTGTAATTCCATCACTGCACCCGGCGGTCCCTGGTTTCCACCATGTTAAAACTCCAAACGTAATTTGAAGTTCAGAGAATGATAATCTATTCAGTACTTTCATTAAGCAAAAGCCTACAGCTTTCTAAATATTCTAATAAAATGGAAGACGAGTTTTACCATGTAGTTTGGTGCGACAAAAGAAAGCCAAGGGGCTAAACTTGGTGGAAATACATGTTTATACAATGGTTCAACACGATTGGTGTCGTCCACATTTAATATCCCATTTGTCCTAAGAAATGGGAAATGATATTTGTACCTGCAATAGATTTTTTTCCCTTTAAAAAAAGATAATGTATTTCATCAAGAGATTAAATTATTTTTTCAGTTAAATAAAAGATATTAGGAAATACCCAGTGCAGTGAATAATAGTATCTGCATCGACAATTGATTCATCTTGAAATACTACTTTACCATCTTTATGTGCACGTTCAATCTACATACAAAAGAAAAAAAAAAACTAAAAAAATAACCTGCTTAAAGTTCAACTTTAAAGCTACTAAATTAATTGGCAAAATGAATAACAAACCATCGAATGTTGCCAAACGTTATCATGATTTTCCAGCTTTTTCAACTGAAAACCAGGTCCCCTAATAGCTTGATGAACTTCTTTTGCAACAGGGGCGAGCTCTTTCACAATGTCAATGGCACTTGCTCCATTCCCGATCAGCACCACAACCTGTCAGAAGTGAACTCATAGTTAATACACCAATTTATATCTTCTTTGGATCGAGATGCAAGGACTAATGATACTAGAGTTTACGAGCAATCACCATGTTTAATACCTTGTTTTCAAATTGTTCAGGAGTCCGATAATTATGGCTATGCATTTGCAGCCCTGGCCAAGTGTCTCTGCCTAATACATGACCAGAATGGTTTAACGTATAACAAGAAACAAAGAGATTATAACGAGCATGAAGAAATGGATCAGTTAATGCAATCTCCAAATTGACATAAATAAAATACCTGAAAATTCTGCAATGTTTGGCTCTGTGTTTTTACCATTGCAAATAACGACGGCCTCAAACACCTCCTCTTTAATTTCCCATCTTGACTCATTATCTCGAATCCTAGACTCAACAACCCAATCGTGACTCGCCTCATCAACTCGCTCCACCCGAACCACTTCATGCTCAAATCGAATCACCTCCATCAACCCGAAGTCCCGAGCAAAGTCCTCAGAAACCTGAGCACCTCCTCATGACCCGGAAAATACCTTGGATCCCCACCTTCTTTCGCCACAAATGGATAGTCCAATAATCCCATGGTCTGCCTAGGAAGGTTAACTCTAAGGGATCTGTAAAGGCTACTATGAACTATTTCACGATTCGGGTCAAGGCCTAATAGGTCGGTCTCCACCCGTGGATCGTAGAGCCATGTGCCACCAACATTGTTGGCCTTTTCAAATACAGTGACTCGATGACCTTCTCTTTGAAGCTCCCTGGCCGTGACTAGCCCAGCAAAGCCACCACCAACGACGGCTACTTCATAAGCTTCTCCCATTTTTAGCATATAACGATCGACGATCTGCTAAATGACTGATACTGGTAAAGATCTAAAAGTCTTTAACGAAGTTGCCTTCTACCCACTCAGTGCAAAGATTATTTATTACTTTGTCGTTAAGGAGATGGAATACTATTTATATCGTTGTCAATGATTCTTGATGTGATTTCAACAGCTTTGTTTTATCCAAGAAAATGCTACCACTACTAATTTTGTATTGATTTCACTCCCCCACCCACCACCCCCAATTTTTTTTAAAAAATAGAAATAATCATCAACCTTTAAATTTTATTTATTTTTATTTTTTATTAATTATACTTATTCATTAAATTAAAATTATAGCTCCGTCCATGGGTTGTTTGCTTAGCCTAATTCCACGGCTATTCCCTGTTTTTCACTACTATTTAATTCTAAACTTGGTGGACTAAGCATCAATCTCAATTATTTTGTCGGCTTCGTCATGTGGCTTAGCGTCCTAAATCAAAATTTAACACCACAATGATTGTTGAAATGCAAGAAAATGTTAATCTAAACTTGGCGGAGGGGGTATGCTCCTATGTTCGGTCGAGTTAACCGAACAACCGACTCAATCCATCCGGTTGCCATCTCTACCAACATCGCTGGCCTTTTTAAATCCGGGTGACTCAATGACCTTCTCTTTGAAGCTCCCTGACCGTGACTATCCCTGCAAAGTCTCACCGACTACCGTGACCATGTGCCACTAACATTGTTGGCCTTATCAAATACAGAATTTCAATTGTAATTCATTTTATCGGACACAATTGTTGCTTATAATTATAATATACTAGTATACGCGTTGAATAACTGAAAATATATGCGATTCAAGTCGATTTGGATTAAAAGGTAAAATTATAAGAATCTGGAGAACAAAAAAAATGTTGTCCTTAAATTATCTCCTGTGAGGCTAGACTCTGTATCTAGAGATTGTTTAGATTATTTCATCGAATTATCTTCTTATATTACTTAACTATAATTTTGTTAACCTGATCTTTTTCTGACAGAGACGCCAAATCTCTAATTCTGAATCAGAAGAAAGTGAAAGCGAAGAGAAGTTCAGCGAAGAAGAACATGATGATGAAGTAATCCTCAAGCAGAACAACAAGGTATCCGAATACGAGAAGCAGAGGTTAATGAGAATTGCAGAGAACAGATCCAGAATGGAGGCTTTGGGTCTCGCCAAATTGCTTCTTCTTTGATGGGTTCGTCGCCAAATTCAAGTCGGACTTCGAGTAAGCTTAAAGCGAAACGCAAGGTCGTTGAAGACGATGAAGATTACAGGCCCAATGATGACGAGGATGAAAAAGACGACGACGATAACGGTTATGATAATGAGGAATTTCCGGGTAGTAAAACGCCTCAGTCCTAGTCTCGTAAAAACAAGGTAAAATAATTTACAGAAATAATCGTTCCAAAAAGGGAAATTTTCCAAGATTTGTTTGGAGATCGATTGTTTTGTGCTGTTGCTTTTTCAGATAAGCTGATAAAATTGATTGCTTTATAGTGTGTAATGGCTACACTTTTTTGCCTGTGTCTTATGCTTCTTTGATTCTCTTTTCCAGGTGAAATATAAAGGCTCAAAACATAAGAAGAAAGCTTCTGTTCAAAAACAATTAAACACGTCAGATTATGTTGATAATGAAGATGAATTAATGGTCAGTTTCCATAACTGATGAGCAAATGATGTTTCTATTTCTAGGTTTCTAGAGTTTCACTGTTAGGCTAAACTTTATTTAAGTCATTTTCAGGCAATTGCTCTTTCCCTGAAAGATTCTGGAGAAGTTTTAGGTTCTGTACCTGCAGATGTGTCAGTTGCTACATTCACTGAAAGAAAGGAGAATAACGCTCGAAACAAGAGGAAAAAATCGGTTTGTTTCTGTTTCATATTACCGTGTGGATTTCACTATTTGCTTCCCCTTCCTCTCAATTTGTATTCACTTGGTTTCTTTTCATTTGTGGACCACAGTTCACCAGTTGCACCCAAATGACTGAGGATGAAATGGTCATGCACTTCTTTCAGTTTGATGGTAATTGCTGATGCTACTCTCTTCTTTCTATCTTTCTTATGAAGATGCACACTGTCAACATAGTAAGCTTATTACTATAGAAAGCTTAGAATCTGCATTAGCATTGCTCTTGCAGATCTAAAAATTTTCTGGGAAAAGAATTCCGTATTTCCTCAAATCGCCGAGGATATGTTTTTCACAAGAACATCTATTATTTAGCATTATCATGGCACCTCAGAAGAAATAGGTGCCGAAGGCCCTGGTAGCAGCAGTTAGCTAAATAAAGAGTAGGATTTTGGTGCATTTGCTTACACTGCATATTCTGGTTCGGTCAAATTAGAATGAGAAGCCTAATGCTGAACACCTCATGTGTAATACTATTTTTGTTTTGGTATCATCTCTCCCTTCCTGAATATGTTTTTGGTCATTGATTAAAAGCATTGTTGGCTATCAGAAGCTGGAAAAGGAGGCATTTCTATTCGAGATTTACGAAGAGTAGCTATCGCACATGATTTTATGTGGACGGATTAGGAGTTGGTTGACATGATCCATTGCTTTGATGGCAAGAGTTATGGGAAGGTCAGTACATTCTTTTAGTTAGCAATCTTGTTTTCCCAATATTTAAACTATCGATATGGTTAAAGTTCAATAAGCCATTGTCTTCACAAGCAAAACAGTGAATGATCAAATCGTCATACTTTGTTTGTAGATCACCTGCTCTTAATAAGATATTATGTGAATAGAAGAACAACTAAGAAGTAAAATTCATTCATGTGCTTGCCTAGCCAGAGTCAATACATACTTCTATAGAATTTTGTGTCACTTCAAAATGTATCTGAGTTTAAAGAATTACTCACCTTTCTCACAGGTGGCACTGCAGCTAAATCTTGATGATTTCCGGGAAATTGTCAGCAGATGCAACATGTTACGAACATCTGAAAATTCGTGAACCGGGTTCAAGCTTATTTTGTTTTAAGATGTACCTTTTTTAAACGGATTAGGATTTCGTAATCAAGACTCAGTGCTCCGTTCTTTTATTCTACAAGTTGAATGTTTTCGTGTACAAATGTAAGCTATGTATAGTTTGATAATAAAAAACAGGCTTACGGCAGATCTTCTCTGAGCATATCAACACAAATACCAAAAGCAATTGGAATGCACAGGGACCAACACTAATGTCAATGCACGGTAAGAGAATGGACTATAAAATATTTTATAATATTTAAATAATATTATTATTTAAATAATTTTGAACTGCATTCAAGTTATATTAAATGATACGAATCAATCGATTTCAATAGTTTAAACGATTATTGTTATTTCTTGAGATTTCAGGTTCAAAATTGACGTCTGTAATGATATATGAGTTTTTTTGTCAAATGACTTATAGTTTTTCAAATTTATACTAATAAAAAAATTGTTAAATATAATTTTAAATATAACAAAATCAACGAGTTTTACATGCTAACTTTATACCCTCTAACTATAATTATCCCACTTTTTATTAATATGAAAACTGCTATAAACGAACAAGGGAGAAAGAGATAACGAGGCAAGCTGTTTACACAAATAAGGAAACCTCATCAAGAAACTCGAACCGGTCAGAACTACAGAGGATCCAAATCTTATAACTTTAAGTAATAAACTAAAATATATATATACTTTTAGTAAGGATCCAAATTAGTTTTAGTTATAATATGAATATATAAACATTATACACCAAGGGCTCTTCAAAATTATTCTTGGGACCAAAACCCTCCTACGCTCCAAGGAGCATTTGGGGTTGAATCACAAAGTTTAAGGGTCGGAACCAACATTAGTAGTTTGAAACAATCCCAACTTGCAGCCATGGAGATGAAGTTCCACTCGTATTGACGTCCTTTAGTTCACTTAGTTTTCCTAACATCATAGTACTGTCAGTTTTGTCTTCCTCATCTTGCTTAGAACTATTACAAATATTGTTCTCAATCGTATCGTTGTTGTCAACTTGCAGTTGCTGTAGGTTATCTTCCTTTCTTTGGCAATCCAAGGTTGCAAATAAACTCTCGGTGAAACATCAAAACTCGATCGATCGATGTGGTTCAGTCGTATGAGCTCGTTAGTTTGAAGCAGGAAGATTGAGATCAAGCTGAAGATCGAGCGGGTCAGAATCACCAACAAACCTTGATTTTGGGTTTGCTGAATCTGGTTTACGTTGTCTTGAAACCGATGTAGCTTAAAGAAAGAGGATGTGTGATCACCGAGTGGATTCGATGTGATCCAGTGACATCTTTTATGCCCTCCTAGCGCTTGTCCCGACGAAAATACCCGGTTGCATATTGAACATTCGTGTACTTTTGATTTGTTTTTGGGTGTAGGGGCCGATGTATCGACTCGAAATGTTGACATAGATTTGACGGGGGTAAATGCGTCACGATCATCATTCACTGAACTATCATCTTTACGATTACGATCATCGAGCGGAGCTGCGGAACAGCCCTTAACTTTCTTGTGACTAGCTCTATGTCCACCCAATGCTTGATGGGAATTGAACACTTTCTTGCATGTTTTGCACCCAAACAACCCTTTGGCTACACCTTTGCCCTTATCCGTAGGTACCGTTGGCCTACATGCAATGGGAGTAATGAAACTCATTGTGTTTCTCTTCTCTTCTTCTTTGCTAGCCGAAGTACAAGACTCCTCAGGTTCGGTAACAAAAGGAACAACAACGGTTGCATTAGATATCATCATCAAGCAATTGGCAATCTAACTCTTCTCTTGATGGACAATCGGAGACCAATGATCTTTTCCTCTTAGACAAGTAGCCCGAGCCTTTCCTCATCACGTCATTGTCGCCACCATCGGATCCTCGTGAGGAACCAAGCGATTCATCCCTAGAGCTACATTTACCATGCTCAAGAAAAGATTTCCATGAGAAGAACTCCTTGCCACAATTCTCACAAACCCTACAACTCTTTAATCGATTAGGGTCTGTTCTTAATCTGTAGATGCGCGTCTTGCCCGGTGGCACGATGTTCCCTCCTAAATTGTCTCCCAATCACTCGCGGAAACGTCGTCGTCAATGTATCGGCTCTCGTTGCTTGTTCCATGCGACCCATGTGCCCACCAAGTGCTCTCCCACACCCAATCGTTTTGTGCAAATTTTGCAGAAGTACTTGATTTCATATTGTTGATCCGCTATAAAAGCCATTATTAAAAGGAAAATCTGGAAATTGAATTTCAATGAAGTGAAAGAAGAATGGGAAAAGAAGAGCTAAATGGATTGGAGAGTTTGGGTTTGAGGAGGGTTGGGGGTGACAAGTGGCAGGAGGAGAGGGTAAGAGACTTGGGTATTTTAGGCTTAAAAAATGGATTTTGACAAAAACAATAAACTCGTTTAAAAATAAGGATATATTACCTATTGAGTCACCTATTTATTCTTGTAATTTTGTTTTGGTCACTCAATTATTATTATTTTAAAATTATACCTAATTTTATTTATTTCTATTTTAGTCACTCGACGTTAGGTTTGACCATTGACTTAATGGAACTGGTGATTTGGTATTGTATAATAACAGTTTTAGTCTCCAAAACTTACATATCCTATCAAATTGATCATAATTCAAAATTATTAAAAAAAATCCTCAATATTTAAAAATTTAATCAATTTGGTTCTTATTTTAACTTGAAATAGTTTATTAATAATTTAGTGGCTTACTTTCAAGCCCGGTTAACGTCTCTTTTGATTCAATTCCATCTTTGCCGGTTATCCCTAAACTTTTCATAGCACCCACCACCATCTTCATGTCGTCGTTCATCGTTCTTTCATCATCTAACCTCTTCTTCATTTTTAGTTTGTCTTAAATTTTACAGTCATTCCCTTGCGATATCGCAACAATGTCACCACTCATCCAACGATTCTCTCGTACTCCTATTACACTTCTGCTCATTGTCGCCATCGAAACAACATCTCCACCCATCTACCATCATCGTCATTCTTCTGCAAACCACACACTTTGAATGCCACCTTTTCATTGTTTCTAATTTTCTCTCCCTTGTTCGTCTGACGTCTACTAGGCCCAACATGAAATCATTCTTTCAAAAACCTAATTTTCAAAATTGACCTAATAACTCACTTGGAGTGTGACTGATTCCGGTGATTGTAAGACCTAAACGACATTGTAAGTAGTCGGGCATACGACCAATGTGGAAAAACAACAGAGATGACTAAAAAATCGGGCGATGACGATGATTGTGATTTGAAAAAAGTATTTGGGATTTTATAGTGGACCAAATTGAAGGATTCCCTAAATATTAAGGATTTTTTAAATTATTTTAAATTATGATTAATTTGATAGAATATGTAAATTTTAAGGACTAAAATAATTATTATACCATGTCACATCAGCAGTTACATTAAGTTAATGATCAAGCCTAACTACCTAACTATGAAAAACAAAATAGAAACAAAACATAATTATGTATATTTAAAAATATTTAAATAATTAAAAATAAAAAAATAAACGGATGACTAAATAAATAATTTACAATTAAAATAAAACTGTGAGCATATATATTATACAAGAATTGCAAACAAAAGTCAAAATCATCTTAAGTGACACTTGCGACAAGTGATTTGTATACATGCAGGTATGTATTAAAAGTTATAAATTAAGGTTGAATATAATATGAAATAATCATATTTATTAAATTTTTAAATTATTTTTAATACAAATTTTCATAACATTTATAATTAAAAATTATATTTATTTTTATTACAAAATTGTTTTAGTTCTTTATAGAAAAATAATTTTTTCTAAAATAATACATATTCCACTTTTTATTTTGCTAGGCAAGATAAATTTATTTAATTAATAAAAAAAAGAGTCTCATTCAAATCTCGCTAAACATAAATGGAGGAAAAGATCGGAGCTCTGAGGGCCTTGGGGTCCTGACCCCTGTTAAAATTTTTTTATATTCGATATAATTTTGGTTTAATTGTATATTGGTTCATGTAAAATAATATTTAAATTTAAAAATATAAAAAATATTAAATATTCATCAAGTATGGTCAACTAAAATTTGTAGTCTAATTATAATTTAGGTCATTGTAAGTTTAATATTAGACACATAAAAGTTGTCTTGTGAATTTTAAGTTTTTTATTATAAACTTAAGGTAAATAGTGAATAAAAGGTAGTAGAATGTACAAAACTTTCAACTATTTGACAATGAACTCTCATACCCCTCATACGCAGTGCTTGAACTCGGAACTCAAGGATAACAAACAATACCCTTAATCACTAAGGTCGTTTGTTCTTGCTGAATTTCGAATTTAAATACATGATAAGTCTTATATTTTTCTTAAATAATCTAATTTTCAGACTCTGTCATATTTAATTTTGGCTCTCTCCGTGATTCAACAACAAACACCTTCTGCCTTTAAGACTCCGACATAATCTAACCTCACACCAGGTTACACCCCTCCAAAGAGACGCAAAACCACCTAGCCCCACAACCTCGCTCAGGTCAATCCAATCAAGGGCAAGAGTAAAAGCCTACCTGTAATTTAGAAAATGTAAAATACAGTACCCACACATGTCTCCACCACCAAGCAGCATTAAACAGACTCACAAAAGACCCCATAACACCTAGAAGGCTCTTGCGCGATTAAAACAAAACAAACACCACTTCAAGCCATTTAATTCAATGATTCAGATTACCATCCCCTACCAAATAAACGACCAAACTACATCTTCTATGCAACCAAATGAACTGTTAATCCCATCGTGCTTTAAACAATTCAGTACAGAACAAAATTTGTTTAGCCAATTGATCCGCAAAATGTTTCTCTCTGGGGTGTACACCAACTTCACCCCGACAATTAAATACGAGCTTGTCATGTTGGTTTTTGGTAAAGTCCCACATTGGTTGTGTATGAGGAGGAGGAGAAATTCTTTGTTAAATAGAACTCTCATCCTCCTTAGTTAAGCATCCAAACAAATATAAGCATTCTTCACTATTAAAGGCTATTTGTACTATTTCTCTTTATAATATTTCTTCTATTAGTGAAATATTATTTTAGTAGTGTTCGAGGACATAGGCATTTTGGTTGAACCTCTTTAAATTTGGTA